AGAAGTCCAAGTATCTCAAGTGCGGGGTTGTGTAGAGATATGTAGGATTATATTGGGATATGTAGAGTGTATAGGTGGGTCATACAGAGTCATAAATATGGGGTTTGACAAGGCAGGGGTCAGCTACCCTAACCCATGAGGACCCTATGAGAGTCAGTCACATGAGCTACCGCCAATACTTCCCCATGCAATTAACCCTAAGGGTCCAATTACCTAATAATCATATACTTACCCAAAACCTGTACTCTAATTACTATTACCAAAGCCCAAAGTACCCAATTATTGAGTACATGGACCCTTAGGGTAATGGATTGTTAGGGACTATAAGGAGGACTATAACCAACTACGAGAGGGACTCCTACGTCCCCTGTGAATGGTCCCTCAATAAGCTTGATCCCTAATCGCTAAACCCTAAACCCTAAACCCAAACCTTAAGCGATGAACCCTAAATACCCTATGGACCCCATACATCCTTTTGAAGGGACCCTCACTAAGCCTTAAACCCTATCAATAAGCCGAATTTTGGCAGTAGCTCAGTTACTGTGAACTTGAGAGTTACCAAGGGACTCTGAAGGGTGGACATGAGAGTCAGCGGCTCCAGCCGCCCCAACTTTCCAGCAGTAGCCGCTGTAGCTTGGCCCTCCCAGTGTCACGTGATGGCACCATCTAGCAGGGGGAGGGTCAGGCTCGAATGGGGGTCTCCCTCATTTAGAGGTTTCAGCCTCAACATTGGAAGACTTGCTCTGTGGGCATTCTTCCTTCTGGCAGGGCATGCCGATGCCCCATCTCTGGCTGCCCCGCTTGGCCAATCTATGACAACACGAGATTTTGTGGATTGTTTTGGAAGTTTGATTCAGGGTGGTCCTGGTCCGTCTTGGTCTCCCCTTCCTCCTTCAAACATTTCCTTCCTCGTGCAGCCAAGGACTGGCCTCGAACTCTCGCCACGCGCTGCCAAAACAGTCTCTTTGCACCTGTTGTGTTTTGGAGACTGGGGCACGACTTACATGCTTGTCCATGTTGTGCTCTGGAGCCTTCTTGGCTTCAAAATGCCATGTAGTCTTTTGGCCCGCGGATTGCGAGTCGCCAAAGCCTGTGTGCCCATGTTCTGGGTGCTGACTACTTTCATCTACATATTTGCATTCCATGGCAAAACTGCTGATGGGCTCCTTTTGGGCCCACAACACAGTCCTTCGGCCAAGGAGGTTGCTTGCAGCTATTATGCTGTTGTCGAGGTTTTGCAAAATGGGATGTTGGCTTTGGCCAATCCCACCCTCATCAGCTCCGCCCTTGCACTGTTGGTCATCGCAGCTGTTTTTGACCAGAGAGATCTGGCGAGTAGGGAGAATGTTCGGAGTCCATGGGAACGCTTGGGCTTGGACGTTTCGTGTTATAGTTACAAATTACAACAATATAGACCACATTGTTTGCGCAAGAAGTTGAATTCTGGCAAAGGTGACTGTCTTTACAAAGCCCTTGCTCACAGGCAAAAAAGTTGGAGGAGGGTTAAGCGAAACATCCTTGGATGTCTCCTTCCCTCTTCTGTGTCTGGAGCATTGAGACCCAAACACATTTGGGGAAATCAGCATGCGATAGCAGCTGCGGCACAAGCCCTCAATGCTCGCATTACTGTCATTTCCGTTGACAAGGGCAAGGTCTATCATTTTTCTCCTCGCTCGCCAAATCGCAGGATTGTCCTGCTTCATTCTGGCACTCACTTTGAACGCGTTCAGTTATCTGGACGGGCATGGAGTCCGGATACTCCTAAATTTACAGATTTTGACATGGGGTTAAGCTTTGTCACGACTTCCATATCCAGCATGGTATCTGTGGAGGAGGCGGTTCTGACACCGAACTCCCGACATCTCAGCACGCTCGTCGCGGTGAAAGCCCTCAACATGTGGAGAGTGAGGTGAAGGACGAAGCTTCTCCGGAAGGTAGTCTTAACATCTCTAATGTTGACACCACTGTTGCTGACATTTCCGGTGTTGGGCATTCTGTTGCTGCTCTCAAGGAGGATTTTGTGGACATTTCTGCCAGAGCCAAATGCTCTGGAAGAAATGATGCTGGGGAGAAGCGAAGATCGCAGCCAGTTCCAGAGCCGGAAGGTGGTCCTAAGAAAGCCCGAGGAGCTGACGACTCGTTTCACTGGAACGCTGGTTATGTACCTACTCCTGAAGAACTTGCTGAGTGGGACCTTCCTGACATGGTTTATGGCAACGTTAAGGGCGCTGATGGAAGCAGAATTTCAGGAGTGGCTCCATTTCACGAACTCTGCAGCATAAGTTTTTGGAAGGGTGCTTTCTTCTGCCCTTTCTGCAAACATCGGAACGGGCGCTGGCCTGAGAAAGGTATTCAACGCTACGGGTCGTTTTTGCAGCATCTGCAAACGACCAAATGCTGTCCTCGAAACTTAACACTGTTCTATCAAAAGCAGTATCATTCCAACCGGGATTGGTTTGCTCAGCAGGATTCCACTGCTGACGCCCCCGGATGGGCTGAGCAAAAAGGGCATATTGGTGCAAAAGCTCGTCCTTCTACCTGTTCTCCTACAGGCTCAGGCGAGATTAGGATTCCT